TCCTCCTCACCTGGTCTGGTTGTTTCACCTGAACATGAGCTGGAACCAAGTCTGAAGCCGTAAATTACATCCGATTCCTACCTTTTTTTCCACCCTTATACTAGTTATTGTTAAAACAGCACTGTACTTTTTCATTCACGTTTGTCCCACACTGTATCCCGTCGACCACATTAATGTCGTAAGCACGCAGCGGTGCATCTACGTGGCAGCGGAGGCGTAAATCGCGGGCACACTCACGCTCCGTCTGGCATCAGCCATTGCTCCAGCGTGGCCGGATTTGCGTGCTCTCCTCATCTGTTCAGTAGGTGGGGTTGCCATGGAGACGTGGCATTCGCAGTGCTGCTGATGGGAGTGATCGTTCCTGCACTGCACACACACACACACTCATCAGGGGCTAAAAATAGAGGGCTGGCCTGAGCAGCCTCCCTCTCTGAATATTGATCCTTATCTAATGATGCCTCTGAGGAGAAATGAAAGAGGGCAGAATATCTGAGAGCAGGACGGATGAGAGAGGCCGGCTTTCATTTTGGAAAAGAGTGAGCGTTATGCTGATGCATCACTTCTCCCTCATGAGCCTGATTCCTCTCCAAAGCTCTCGCCATTTTTTAAAGTGCAAATTTCTTCACTGATTTTGAAACGTCCTCAAAGGAGCCAGGTGTTTCTCCAGAGGTCACACTCCTTCAGATGTTGATTAAACTGGACCATTAACCTAATATGTTCATTAGGTGAGAGACACTGCGTAAGATTGATGTCAGACTCTACAGGTAAATCGCTTCTCATTTGTATCCGTCTCACACCTGGCTGCTCGAGGGTCATTTGTCTTTGTTTTTACCACAGTCACCTCAGCTGTGGGGCAGGTTGGTTCCCTGTTTTTCAGCCTTTCTTTTAAATCAGATAAATTGGCTTCACGTGCATCTTAAGGGCTTTTTCTGCCTTTATTACACAGCCAACGCTGGAGAGATAATCGGAAACGAGGGGACAGAAATGGGGAATGACAGGCAACAAGTCCTACACTGGTGTAGGGCTGCCCAGGAAAACTAGATGATTAGAGTCATCAGTTGTAAAGACCCCGAGACAACTCGCATTTTGTCAGTCGAATCACTTTAGCTGCATCATTGTACATAGAGCGACAGCATTTTACAAACCAAGTCTCTAAATGCAGCCATGTTTCCACAGCAGAAACTGCTGATATAGTAGGAATACTATTTGGCATCAGAGTGTGGCTTTGAACAAAAAAAAAAGAATCAATTATATTGAACAAGGCCTCAAGGTTAAGGAAAAATGCAGAAGTCTGACGGCTCTCACCATTTCAGTCTTTTAGGGGTTTAGTGTTGCTCAGACCAACAGCCCCAACATGACATCATCCTACAAAATGCTAAATTGGCCAATCAAAGATGAAATGATTGCCAGCATAATAACTTTACAGACTTAAATCCCTACTCATCATCTCATGAACTGCAGCGTTTTGGCGTCTTGTAAACCTTCAAACTCTTTGGATCTCGTATTCAAACTTGAATTCCTGGACAGGGTTTAATTTCTCACCACTACCTGAGGCAACACACAACTGTTTTCAGTCCAAACATCTGCCTAAACTTATTTGTTGGAGACATCTGGGTCATCACCCGGGCCTAGAAGAATGGGGGGGAAAAAATGGAAATTGGGATGCATTTTAATTTGTTGTGAAGTATCAGCGAAAGAGGAGCCGAAGAGAGCAAAACATTTCAGCTGCTTGTGTGTAATTGATTTGTGAGAAGAAACACAGAAAATAAAAACACAATCAGAGATTAACTGCTTTGTATCTTCATCTCTACCAGCAGTTAGAGATTCAGTTTTTATTTTTTTGCTCACACCAAACTAGTGAGGTGCCAGACGCTCCCATCACCAGGATGTGTCTAATTACATCTGCCAAGGTGCGAACGCACTCAGCAAAGCTTTAATTATACCTATGTCGCCCACTCGTTCTGTCCGCCACACTCGTGTGACAGCCGAAATCATTAAACATGTCGAGAGGAAAAGACGGGAGAGCCGAACGAGTGGGACTGAGAATTGGGAGTAAAAAAGTGGGAGGTCTTAGCAATGTTGTAAATGTGAATTTCATTGTCATTAGCAGGGGGATTGTGAATTGATGGGCTGCTTATCTCCCTATTCTCCCTTCATCTGTGTGTGTGTGTGTGTGTGTGTGTGTGTGTGTTGTGAAGTCATGGGGTTC